CAGGAAAATTTCCAGCCATGCAGTCATATACGGTAACTGCAGATCACCTAGTGTTGGGGTTTTTTTCACAGTGAAATCCACTATACTAGTAGAAAATCTCCTGCATTTCGAGTGCCATAATGGCTTTTACCACTAGAGGGCTGAAGCAGCAGCTTTAACAGGAGAACAAACCTGTGCTGCTATGCGAGCCCAGCGCACCTTGGGCTATCTGAAAATCAGGCATTGTCATTACACTTAACGCTATGAGTCTATATGCTTAAAACCAAGATACTCCTTAATACGAAAAAGGGCGGCTTTCAGACACTTTTATGTCTTTTTTTTCTTTTTTAAAGTGATTGTTTTTACCTTCACAGAAAGCAAATGCAACTTTCCAAACACCAGGGTTTGTAGCAAGTCATTAGAGTATTTCATCAGCTATATTAGTGCAGAGATTTCTGAGCAAATAACCTCCAATTTGGCTTAAAACTAGAAATCACCCTGAAAAAAATTATGTGCAATTTCAATCCTCTGTCCTGTAACATTTCTTGTGCTTGTTAGGCTATTGGTAGAGCAATGTAATAATGTTCCAGCAACTGAATGGGGCATCTGAAAGAGAGCAGCCCGATTTACAAGCTCTAAGCTGTCATATATCACCCTTAGCTGAAGTAGTGGAAAAGCTACATAACTTTGCTTGACAAAATCCAGAGTCATAGTTTATTTTGCCTCTGCAGCCAACTTCCTGCTAGATTTTTCTATTTGTCCCTGTGATCTTGTCCCAAAGTTCCAGATTTCTATTTCCAAGCAGCATGAGCTGGTTAAGAGGGACCTTCCTTGTGAATACGTATGTTCTGCCCAGACACATGCATTCTTTAGCATGTTTCAGCTCAGGCCTGTTCTCTTTGGGATGCAAACCAAGAAAGATAAACAATCTTTGTGCTGTTGTAGAGATGCAGAGCATCAAAAGTGTTGTCAACCCAACTTCATGTGGTTTTAGCTGGGATTGGGGAATCATTACAGGTTGGAGTGTAGGATTCAGCGTAGACACATCTTTAACGTGTCAACACGTGGACACGACATCTAAATCCTCACAACGCTTGGTTGTGTGATGTTTCAAGAGACTTGTCTAGTTGTTGCTGTGAATCATCATGACACTGGAGGATAAAACAAAAGCCCGCCTAAGTTGTTCTAGGGAGTGACCCTCACAAACTTCCCGGGAGAATGAGGAAGCTCCTGGTTTAAAGCAACCCCTTTGTCCCCCTTTTCTGCCTCTTCAGTAAAGGGCTTCGCACAAGATTTTATTTCAATAACTTTTTGAAATATTGAATATTTGTTTTCACTGAGAAAAGAATTTGCAAAGCTGTTGCTTCTTCGAGACAACCTTATTCCTTGTGGCCTGACAAGCAAGATCATTATTTTGGCATTGCTTTGGGATTTTGCAGTTCCATAGTCCCAAAGAAAGTAAAAAATTGCTTTGTTTTTAAGGTGACATCAAATTCCATTAGATTCAGTGGACAGCTACCATAAATAGGAATGAGAGTTAGATCATAATTTTAGAGGCATGTTGATCCTATCCTCAGTCCCAAAGGACTCAGTATTACAGACGTGCATTTCATGGCATAACTAAGATTTTAAGCACATAATTTATTTCTGAAGGTGCTACTGGACCATTAAGAGCAGTTTTTTGTCGCCTTTGAGTAGACGTGGAAAACAATATCTCTTCAATTTTATCTGTGTGACCATATGAATTTAAAGTAACACATATATGATTATTTTTCAAAATGGATCATAAAATACATATTCATTTATTAGCCTTGCATTCATAACACTTGGGAAAGAACAAATCCATATTGCAGTGTATCAGCAGCAAAGATAAGGTCAAAAATTGTATTTAAATAATTTGCATTTTTAAATCAGTGGTATGTGTCACTGGTGAGAATTTTAGCTTAGAGTGTGGTTTGCCTCAGCAAGATTAAAACTTAGAGAAATGTATATTGCTGTGTTGACTTTGTAGTCCTTTAAATGGATTATACTATATTTAGACACTATTCTGAGGGTTATTGTGGAAAATTTTGAGAATAGATGTATAGCAAGAAGAAAAACCAAGCTAGGATCCACATGTGTATTTCTTCGTCTCTTTCAATTAACTTGTGGAAATAGCTCAGTCAGAAACTTGTAAAAATAACTATTTATACAAATGAAAGGGCAGGTAAGGACCCAATCCTTCATCCTTCACACAAGCAAAAGTAAAAGAAAATCTTATCAGGCAAAGAGAATTGTATTTAATTACAAGATCTCAGGATTAAACAATGAGCTCTGTGTGAAAAACTGCAGGCATCTGCAGCATCCTGCATCATACCATCTGATCCCACAGACATTCTTAGAGCTTTTTCAGAACTGCATTTTTGACTGGGTGACTTTTGACTGAATCTTTTTCCTTCTGGTCAATACGTGAACATTCAGCAGTGATATCTGGACTAGAATTTTCTGCATAATGTTCTGTTTCACCTGCCACTGACACCAGTGGAAGGAACTCACAGTGATTTCACTGGAGTTTGAACTAGGCCTTTTGTGAGAAGAGTCTGTCTTTGACAGGTACTCATTGTAGAAATAGTTATTGATAACACTTTTGATAACATAGAATAATGCTATATGTTGTTTCTTCTAGAAATGGCTTATTCTACCAAGGTTAATTAACTAATAAAGAGTGTTAAAAAAGCTGACAAGTCTGTACATGTTTTTTAACACTAATGGCATTAGCTTTCTACTGCTCTTATTAGTGCCTCTTGTGAAACAAAAACAGCTGAGCATGGTCAGGATGTGACTCCATAATATCTGGATGTAACATGTGATAGACATAAAATTTCTGCTTCAGATGGCTACAGCAACAGCCTAGTCACTATAGCGTTTTAATATACCACGGTTGTTTGCTATTTTGCATATTTTTTCCAATTAAGGACTAACTAATTCTCCTCTAGTAAGAGTCTACACCCAGGAATGTCTCACCTGGCCTGTAAATTCATTGTCGTGTGATATGACAAATTATTTATCCTTCCCAAAGCAGTCATTGTTTACTTATTAAATGCTACTATTTTACTAATAATTCTTGGTGCTACTTCGTAGCCATAGCACCAAAAACATGCCAGTGCTGAGCTTTCTAAAAAAAGGACCAGAGCTCCTTGTATGTAGTGTGCAAATAAACAAAGCACCCTTGCCCTGCAGGCTTTACAGTCTCAAATTCCAGCTCAGATAAGTGCTCGGTACTTTACTGAAGGGCTTGCCTTGCAGAAAGCAATCCCATTTCATCCCTGCTAAACAATTTCCAGTGCCTGCTGCCCCTCAGAAAAATCTGTTAATACGGGTTTCCTTCCAGCATCTGCAGTGCCACACTGGAGCCGCGGAGCACTGGGAAGTTCCTTATGTAACTGCGCAGCCTCACATGTACTGGGGAAAAAATCCTTTCGGCAGCGTAATGGTGGTGAAGTTGCTGTGCTGAAACCTCTGCTGAAAACCACATTCAGTACCTACCAGGATTTAGAAATCAGCTCTGTGTTATGATGCTAATTAGCAACATTTTAATTACATATAGTTTTGATATATTTCCTACTCTAGTGCTTTGCAGTTCTTTTACAACTTTGAAAGGAAATATTGGAATTCTGCACAGATTAGTCTTTATAGGAATTTCAATATTAAAATAATTGGTCTTTCTTGTACAAACGTGCTTTGCTGCCGTAAAACTTCATTAACCCTCCACCAGAGGGCAACATCAGAAAAAAATATTTGTATAAATCCAAAAAGCAGTTTCTTTTAGGATATTACGGCTACAACACACGTTTTCATCAGTGAATCTTACTTTCAAAATACACTGTTTCCATTTTGTCACCAACTAGGCAAGTGAAGGAGCTTAATAATTTTAGAAGGATTTGTTTAGAGCAAAATTTATGCTTTCTTTAGTTAACAAATCTACAGAAAATTTAAGATTAACATGAAGCCTAAAAGAAATACCACAGTTATGATTTTAGAATGAAATACCACGCTTTGCATCTTCAAGCTACTTCAAAGTGATTAAAGTCAGGAAATTACTAGAATAATAATTAGAACACTAGAATTACTAGAATAATAACTAGAAAAATAATTCTGTTCATAATGTGCCCAGCTCATTGCAGTGCTGTAAATACCACAAATGAAGTCTAAATGTTATGCTGGCCTACTCGGAGGCGTGAAAGCAGAGGACACAAAACAGGCGGAAAATATTAAATGCCTAAGAGAAGGCAGTCGCTAATGGATGCCTAATATGATATAAAATAAGCTGTGCGAGTAAACACGGATAAAGAGATAAATACACCTTTAGAATGGGGGTTCTCTATTTATAGCCAGAGCAGCACTATTTGCGGTTCATGCCCTGCTTCCCCAGACGTGCGACGGACTGCGTGAAGGCCGTGTCCCTTCCCCACGCGAACGGTACAAATGGATCGGCGACTCTCGCCCCAGCGCGCAGCCAGCCCCCCGGCGCGGCCCCGGGATGGCCCCGAAGAGGGGCGCGAAGCCGCCCCC